TGAGAAGCCCGATTAGGGACATCACGAGTCATGCCAGGCACTCGAGTGGAACCCGCATGAGAAACGACGAGTTTGGTGTCCGAGGCGAGGATGACATTGAGGAGATGGTGTGATGAAAAAGTGAAAGCTTGTGGATAGACGCGGCGCCAGGTTGAGAAGACTGCAGAGAAGAGAGTGATATGGTGACAGGCTACTGAAGCCCTATGTTTCACTAGGAATCCAAGGGACAAATAAACAAAGCAAAAATATTTTCATTCATACTTGTCATGAAGAACCCAATTCTGTTACGTAAAGCTTCTATACTAGGTATCTAGACAGTAATAGTTTTAAAGATTAAAGTTGTCTACATCAAATTTAAGTTACTGATTCAAATATATGATCAACTTGAGAGTAAACCTATGGCGATTTATCAAGTCACAAACATTTGGAAGCCCAGAAGTAATACAACGTCCAAGATTACTCAGCATTATACAATAAAATCCTTCGTGTAAGCGAATATACAACTCTTGTCTTTCAGACAAAGCGAATTGCCACTGAGAAGACGGATAAAGTAGCGATAGAAAAATATTTAACTGCTTCAAAAATTTCATCGGTTAGTTTTATCAATGAGTATCTATCCTAAATGACGAAAGTCAAAAAGTCAAAAATGTTTAGTTCAATCATAAAACAGAGCATGCTATTGAAGAAAAGGCTGAAGATAAAAAATGGCTATTCAGTTTCATTATTATTTTTTGGTCTTTAAGGTAACGAAAAGTATCCTAAAGGAAAGCTATAAGTGAAATGGTTTACAGACAGTTGTTTATTTATTGCATGTTGATCACAATGTATTATGCTGTGAAAAAATCATTTCCATAGATCCAGTACAGATTTTAGTAGTTTTTGTAAAGTTATTTTAGAAGAATAAATCTAAAAACGAATTGCCATTGGTCCGCAGTTTTTCCAAATGCTTATTATTTTGCACCAGAACATCTAATTCTGATGGCGTAAATCTATATCGCTGTGAATGACAACGCTTGAACAAATATTCACTTGGATTACATGATTATGTGGAAACTTACTGATTCTCTAAGTCGTCACTGTGGATTCTTTTGGTCGCCGAAGTTATAAGCATAAGAATTTATGGTAAAATAGACGTTTAGCTAGCGTAACGGGCATTGAGAAGACGAATCAAACATGTCGACTGCTTGTGACGGAAATTCGGAATTTTGAGCGACCTTAGTGCCACTAATGGTGAAAAAAGAAAGTATGATTGAAAACGACCTAAATTTTAACGCTCTGTATATGCTGAAAAGTGGTATTTTCTTGTTCATTTCATAACTTCTGTAATCTTCGAATGTTTTAATCTAATTTAATGACCTCCCTTCTGTACCATCCAGGTCCCGTAAAATCTTGTACAATTTCCAACATATATCAATGCTATGATGCCTGTAAACTGACTTCTCTCATGTTAAATTACTAATATGAGAATAAAGCATTTATTTATTTATTTAAGCACAGTCGTTTCATTGTTCGTTAAGGTATCATGTTACCAAATGTGGTTAACAGAATTTCTTCTTATTGTTTGCTACTATTTATTGAAGTCTTTGATTTTCTTTAGTTAACAGTCAAACACTGAATGACTTAAAATAACCATTCATTTATGCATGCCTAACGATATAATCTCATTAAAAAGTTATCTGCTCCCATGAAATTGATCTAAATATTTATGATAGTAAGTATTGCCGTTCGTAGATTTTGGTTGACTGACATCCTTCTTGCATTCATCGTGACTTTCTTTTGAACACTGCTATCGGATTAAATTGTTGACGGAAGAGGCAATGAAAACGGGACTTCAGGTGAACCTAGAGAAGACGAAGGTGATGAAGATACCCAACCAACAACAGCATCAACAAGCACCAACTACCATGAACGTGAGAAACCGAAAGGAAGTGGTCTCTTTCACCTTCCTAGGCAGCATCGTTTCAATTACAGGCAGTGGCACAGGCACAGATGACGATGTCAGAGGCAACCAGCATCGGAAAAACAGCCAGACAGGATTACTTTCATTTTTCTGAAATAAGTGCGCAGATCTACTGCACTCCACCCAGCATAAAGCGTGAACAACATCCGGATTTCCAACACCAACGTCAGTCAAGTCAGTGTTTCTATGTGATGGTTGAGAGACTTAGCGAGTCATGAAATGCATTTCCACCAAATTACAGACACTCATGAACAGCTGCTGCCTACGTTCACTGCATACTGACACTGAGGATCAGATGAATGGCCAGAGTACAAAGAATAAGCAACAAGGGACTCTGGCTGGCTGGCTGGCAATGAACCAAACAACTATGCAGAATGAAGTGTAGATGGATTGTATTGGGCATACACTGAGAAGGCCGATCGGGGACATCACGTGCCATGCCAGGCAGTCGAATGGAATCCAAAGGGGAAACGATGAGTGTGGTGTCCGAGGGTGACATAGAGGAGATGGTGAGAGGAAGAAATGAGAGCTTGTGGGCAGTCGTGGAGCGAGGTCGAAAAGACTACTGAGAAGAGAGTGAGATGTTAACGTGCTACTGAAGCCGTATGTTTCTCTAGTACCCGAAGGGAAAAATAATAATAATTATAATCGGATTAAATTAACGTATTGAAGTTATGTTATCTCCCAAGGATCAGAATTGGGCAAGATAACCATAGGCTACGACCTTACCTTAGGTGTAAATTGAATTTCATCAGCTAGGGAATATAATGTGATCTCTCAACACAGGGATGTATATAACGAGTACTTGATATAGTCTTAAGTAATTTAAAGAAATTGGTATGCAGCTTTCGAAGTTGATATAGTTCTTAATCGGTACTCACTGGCACGGTGTATTTTAGTACATCAGTGAAACTTATCAAACGGTTTTGAAATAGGTATGTGAACTGTTATTTGTAAATCCCTTTACCAGAACTAGTTAGTTCAGATCCACAAAACGAGAACAAGAAATGCGACTGTAAATGTATTCACATAAGACGAGGAATTCAGATAACGGAATGAATCAGACAGTTAACTAACACATAAGGTAATTCAAATAATTCACACAGTACAATATTAAACTTGTAAATACTTGTATATGGAAGATTACAATACTAGTTACTTTAGTTGCTACAGTAATAACCACTGGAATTGTGTTACGATATTTAACTGTTACTTGCACCTTAATATTCAGTAACTCCATCATATGACAAGCCTGTACAGCATGATTAATGAAAACTTCACTTAAACCCTAGAGTTTGTCTTGATAAATCGCAATTGTATTCCTCAGTTGAGTAGTTTAGTTGATCTGACTATAGTTTTCAACTGGAACATATTCCTGGTTGCGCTATGCAACCAGGTAACTGGTGTCGAAAAATTCAATAAAAGAAAAAATCTCTCAATAGGAAATGAGAGTTCTGCGATAAGATTCATGAAGAGAGGTAGAATTAAATTACTTGTTATCGTTTCCTAGTCGATGACATTTTATTTTATAAACTACGGCCTAGAAATTAATAGTCATCCTAAATTTTGAATTTATTAGTTTCTGTGATTTCAGATGCATGAAGAAGCAGTTACAATTTACTCTTAATAAAAGTATCATATTTATTCGGCAAACATATGCTACTCGGTATCATTTTATAAGGGAAAATTAACATAGTTTTAAGATCAATTTAACTTACTGGTTAACAAAATTTTGGAGCACTTATATCCACATCTTCAAGCTCATCACCGGTAAGTTCTGGTGCATCCCTTCAATAAAATGAAAAAAAATGGACTGGAATTTTATGAATTTTTGTTTGCACAACTTAAAGTCAGATAAAGATGCTCACACGATACTTTACTGATGATTCAATATCGATGGGAAACGCAGGTTTGACAGTTCAAAATTGTTTTCTTAAATTGCTTTGCAACTACGAGTAGGCATACACATTTAACTTTGTTACGTATGAACATTCAGAATTCATTTAAAGTGTAATAAACTATACTACTTTAAAGACTTTATTGAGATGAAACAAGTTATCTATTCTGATTGTGTCAAATTTTAAGCCGACTAAGTTGTTCTGTGTAACTTGCCTCAGTTGGTCACCTGATCCCTATTCTTAAACTGAATTATTTTTTCATATGTATTCTGAGCTTTTGATATAATAAATTCATTTCTTCATTTTGTATTGAGATCTCAATTTCCGACTGGTTGTTTCTATCCTTTGGATTGAATACACATGTATGAATGGAGTTCGTTAGCCAATTAAACCACATTGTTTGATTATACTTATTGTAGTCGACTCTAGTCACTGTCGTTGCTCGTCTTTCTAGATTGTGTTCGTAGTTCATGCAATTTTCCCTAGAAAAGGACCCAGTTGATGGTTATTTTATTTTCATTTCGGTTTTATTTGCACTCAATGTATCACTTTACTATAAACCTCGATAATTTAGCTCCTGAGTCACTGCTGGCTTTAATAACTGCAGTGGTGATAAATTAGGCATTAAATAAAGGAACTTGGAACAGGGTAACCTGTTTGATTCTGGCACTGACCTACCATAGCTAAAATGTTGTTCACCTTTAGTTATACTCACTGTATTTCTAACTTACGAGAATCACATCCATCAGAAATTTACCTTCTTTTATTCTTCGTGATATTCAGTCATCATGCGTAAATAAAGTACTAAGGTGTATGTCTAACGCATGACTGTTCAGTAAAGTTATAAACAAGTTAACTAGTAAGTAATCCGGATCTATTTGTCTGTGTTTTCATCCAAAAATAAAAAAATTGAAACTGATGACACAAGTACAATGCATTTTGTTGTATAGAGCCAAATATCCCTGATCAGAAAAAAATTGACATTTACAACAGAAAGTATACCAAAGATAAATATTCTACAAAGATATCACTGAAACAAGAAGTTACCTCATGAAATCCATAAAATATGCTTCTAAACTCAAACATTCAGTTTCTGTTTTAGTCAGAGAATTTGATGATAAAATTCCAATAAAATTTTCAAATCAATTTTTGTCTTCAATAGTAGTAAATCGGCCTGCTATCACGCGCATCATTTCATGTTTCCATAATAAAATGACGCTTTCTACATTAAGAAAAACCAGAAATTTAAGAAATATATCCTTGTAAATACAAAGTCAATAAAAAATCTGTTTACATACAAATTCTGTATTTGAAATCCTTCCACAAATTCATTATTACTATTTGTCACTTGGGTTCCTAGTGGAACAGACGGCGTCCGTAGCACATCGTCATATCACTCTCTTCTCTGCAGTCTTCTCAACCTGGATCCACGTCTACCCACAAGCTTTCACTTCTTCCTCACACCGTCTCCTCCACATCATCCTCGCCTCGGACACCAAACTCGTCGTTTCTCATACGGGTTCCACTCGAGTGCCTAGCATGACACGTGATGTCCTCAACAGTCTTCTCAATGTGTACCCAGTCCAATCCAATCCATCTACACTTTATTCTGCATAGTTGTTGGGCGATAGATTCTTGTTTGGTTCGTTGCAGCCAGCCAGCCAGCCAGCCAGCCAGCCAGCCAGCCAGCCAGCCAGCCAGCCAGCCAGCCAGCCAGCCAGCCAGCCAGCCAGCCAGCCAGCCAGCCAGCCAGCCAGCCAGCCAGCCAGCCAGCCAGCCAGCCAGCCAGCCAGCCAGCCAGCCAGCCAGCCAGCCAGCCAGCCAGCCAGCCAGCCAGCCAGCCAGCCAGCCAGCCAGCCAGCCAGCCAGCCAGCCAGCCAGCCAGCCAACCAACCAACCAGTCCCATCCAGTCGTAATCCAGTTGAATCCAGAGCATTTCTTATTCTCTCCACGATGACGCCGCCTAATATTTTGCTTGCATGAGGTGGACGGTAGTGGAGTATGATTCAACGTACGTTCTTGCAAACACATAGCTTGTGTTGCCCATCTTTATCAGTTTGATAAGATGGCCCTTCTTCCAGTCTCTCGACAGATACGTTTCCTACCTTCCTTCCAGCAAGGGAAAAGTTTTACTTTACGTTTTATATTTCCTTTATGCTTTGAATTTTCTGAAGGTTTTGCTAGCCGTATGCCCAACCTTTCCTGTTTATCGGGGTTTAGCACCGGCTAGTAACTATTTAACTAGTTAGCTAGACGAGGTTTTGCAATAAGAAACGGTGTTATACAAACGTTCGAATTAATATCTTGTTTTTAACCGATTCTCATTCTCAAATTCTCAGTTATTGAGATCTACTCAGAAGGATAACCTTAGTGTTTGTCTTACGGTAGTAGTATTAACTAAACTTTAACGTTTCTGTTTGGAATATTCGAGTAAATTTTATATAATTCATTATACATACATTTTGACTGTCTTGCATTTCTCGCTGATAAATAACATTTTGGATTATGAACTTGTAGTGAATCATCATAATTACTCAGTCTGAACAGGAAACTACCTTAACCGATGACATTCATGCACTCAGTATTTGATGTACTATGTGACTACTTATTTACCCGAAAATTCTATTGAAAAACCTATGGCTTACACAGCGGAAATTTCAGAAAAATCTTATTCCCTGGATGTTGTTTCCAGCAGAATTTATTGCTCATATTCATGTCAAAGTAAGCATAAGACTTTTAAACTTCCTTTATATAGTCCAACAGTTTTTTATTCTTTTATTATAATGATAGGAAATTTTCCAATTATCAGTTATAAAATACTATACAACGATGTTAAAGTCAGGTATGCAGGTCAAAGTATCCTCTGGGAATTAGTCAGGATAGCGGAGCACAAAATTTTAGAGAGACACATACAGTGATTGACCCTGGTAGGTTGATTAAGTTGGAGAAACTCAGATGTCACTGTACATGCACTCATCCACAATTACACTATAGAGTGGGATAAGATGACAATTCTATAATCCAATATAGGGTAGAGGGAGAGTTCGTAACAAAATCTTTGTTCAATGAATCCATACGTAACACGCATAAAAAGAATGATTTGCCACATATTGCAGTTATTCAGAAAATTTTACGACCATTAAATAAAAGAATAAAGAACTATTGAACTATATAAAGTTCGAAAGTTATCTGATGACTGTGAAAGGAATCTGAGCAATGATCTAAGATCAAAACATCATCCAGTAACCATTACTGAATCGTTGAGCGTTGTATCAAACAGACAACCTAATATGGAATTATGCTGTACCACAATGCCCATGTTTTACTGTCAAATTCAGAAGAATCTTGTTTTGATTTTCTAAGCACTATAGGATTATTTTAAAATGTTGGCTTATAACGATTAATTCAGATTTGGTGCTCAACTTTTTCCAGGACAGTCGTAACAACTATGATCTGATGTTTATAATCTTTTATAAATACAGTCTGTTTTTCTCGAAAAATAATCTGATACTCATACCCTAGACTAAAGTCATAACAATATCTAACATAAAGTATTCGTATATTCTCCCTTGAAAGCTTCAGTTTCCAGATAAAAACAACTTCAACAACACCACTCACTGGAAGCAGGTACATCCAGCTGACGAGTCCCAAATGGGACGAAATGTGCACCCTGGATTCCACTGCTAGCCACTGCCCATCATTACTAAACATAGTTAAAAGACAGGCAATATCGAGGCATCCACATAGGAGCCCATATGCCAACAGAGACTGGTCAATTCGTCCAATCAACGACGGTGTATTACAAGCAATAACACTAAAAACAACTTGCCGACCATTATAAAATAAGTTTAGAAGTATTTTGTTAATTTTATTAAAACGGAATCATTACAACAAAAATTTCATAGACAGTAATGAGTGGAATATACCTAATCCATTTGTTTGATTAATCTTAGTTTTTATTTAGTTTTATTCCAGTGATACCTGCTGGTGCAGGTGATAAATACATGAAAATTTCACTGCATTCAAAAGCTGACTATATTCATCTTTTGAGTCTGAAAATTAGGGCAGTTGTTCAAGATAAATACATAAACCACTTAATTCAAAAAAATGTTTCGATACGCTATTTTTGGCGTAGTATTCATTGATAGGAATAAAATATTCATGATAACCATCACACTAAATTTATCTTTACCTTTATTCATAGAAAAAAACTGGAAGAAAATAGCTTGTTTTTGATATCCAGACATGTAAGTATTACAGTGGTCATGAATTTTTTCACATTGCGTCGAAAAATAAAACCGTTTATTATAAGTAGAAAAAGACAGAATGAAACTGTAGTGAGATATTTTATCTGTAGTCCATTTCTCAATAATGCGGGTAAAATCGACAGCCTGGTATTGCATGTTAATGAAAGTAAAACTGTCCAATGTGGACGGATGATTGGTCATCTGTCACTAAGTGATCTAATAAGTTGACTGATACAGATACTTTAGAAATATTGTTTTATTACTGTTGTATAATATTTTACTAGAGATTCATCCAGTTAACAAATAGTAACTTCTGCAAGTACATTAGCGAAAACAAATCACTTATGGGAAATGAGGCCAGAAGTCATATGGAAATTCCTAACGTACACAAACCATAAATTGCTTTTGGAAGCATCACATCCTAATCACGATTCGTGCTCTTAAGTAATATTTTAAACTCGCCTTAAGGAAATTATACCCTCATAATGATGCTACCAACCTCGCCTGGTTAACTAGTTTACTAGTTACTAGCCGGTCCTAAGCCCAGGTAAAGAGGGAAGGTTGGGCATAGGGCTAGCAACCCTACCCCGTAAAACAAATCTAACCGCTAAAGAAACTTCAAAGCACAAACAAAATATAAAAAATGAAAACAAACTTATTCCCCGCTGGAATCGGAGAGGCGAAATGACGCCAGTTGGTGAAAGCCTTCGGGAAGCCAATTGGCCGATGTGTCTTCTCTCGATGAAAGCGAAAGTAAACGTGGGGACATGGAATGTCCGCACGATGTTTGAACCCAGTAAGGCAGCCCAGATTGCAAAGGAGATGAGAAGGTATAACATCGAAGTGCTTGGGATTTGCGAAAGCAGATGGAATGGGAGTGGACTCTCCAAACTGTCAACTGGAGAATCAATAATCTACTCCTAGGTCACCCAGACGCCAACCACGAGCACACTGAGGGAGTGGCTATCATGATGTCCTCAAGAGCATCGAAGGCTCTCATGCAGTGGGAACCAATCTCCTCCAGGATCATGACAGCAAGATTCAACTCAAAAGGAAGAAAGGTCACAATCATACAATGTTATGCACCTACAAATAATGCAGAGCAAGAGAAAAAGGAGGATTTCTACAGACAACTTCAATCAACACTGGACAAGACGTCAGTTGGCGATATCAAAATTCTAATGGGCGACATGAATGCCAAACTGGGAGGGGACAACACGGGAAGAGAACTAACCATGGGTCGAGAGGCGCTAGGTGAAATGAATGAGAATGGAGAATTGTTTGCAGAATTCTGTGCATTCAACGATTTGGTGATTGGAGGCAGTGTGTTCAGGCACAAAGATATCCACAAAGCGACATGGATTTCACCAGATGGACACACTAAAAATCAAATCGACTTTATCTCAATCTCAAGAAAATGGAGACGCAGTCTACTTAACACAAGGTCAAGAAGAGGAGCAGATGTAGGTTCAGACCACTATCTAGTGCAAGGAACCTTCCAAATCAAGTTAAAAGCCTTCAAGGAAGCTGGTGATAGACCTCAATTCAAGTACAACACTCGGAAACTGAAGGATGAAACTACAAAGGAGATCTTCAAAGCAGCCATCAAGACAAAATGGGAGACGTCGAGGGACATCCCTGAAGAAACCTGTGTAGAAGAACACTGGAAGTCTTTGAAAGCTATGTGGAAAGAAACCTGCACAACAGTATTAGGAAGGAAGAAGGTGGAAGACAAGGAATGGATCTCGACGGATACCTGGAAGCTGATAGAGGAGAGGAGGATGGTGAAGCAGAAGATAAACCAGTGCAAGGATGCTCAACGACAAGAGGAACTGAGCACAATGTATAAAACACTGGATAAAGAAGTGAAGAAGAGTGCACGCAAAGACAAAAGACACTTCTACGACACACTGGCAAGTGAAGCAGAACAGGCTGCAGGTAAGAGAGAGACCTGACGACATTGTATCAAATAAC